CTCCTCAGTTTATTGACTCCCGCTAGGTTTTACTACTGCCTGCCTTGCATAGCCAATGCACAGTAGCTATTGCAAAAGCAAGATCTAGTCCTTTGTACCTCACACAGCTCTGAAGAATCTCAGGAACTCTTTAAACCAGAGCTGATATTGTTGCTAATGCCATTCGATGAAATAAGAATTAAGGCACTTTGTTGGCGAATACCATATCTCCTTTACAGAAAAGCAGTGGTCTCTTTCAAATTCAAGTTCGCGTCTAATTTGAAACTACATCTTATATTCTGATTGTTCTACCATTTCCCTTGAGCACTTAAGCAATCATGGTATCTCTCTTCCAAATTAAGTCAAGACAGAGCTTACTATATGACCTATTAAAGAACCAGCACCAGGCTGCATAACAGCAGTGGTCCTGAGCTGGGGATGTTTGTGTGCCTTAAAGATTATTAATAATTGCGATAGACTTCCCATGCTGGTGGCTTACCTTTTACGTGTTAACATGGTAAGGCCACAGTGGGCTGAATTGTTTGCAGGTAGACGACAATAAGAAGCCAGAAATTGTGAGGAAATGGAATGTATACTGTGGTAAAGATGGGGGAGATGGAGGCTACAAGAAAGAAGAGATCAGCATGAAAGAGTGAGTTTTGTGAAGAAGAGAGAAGTGAATCAAAAGGATGAGTCAAACAACAACATGAGAGGATGATACGGCAGGCTTCAATTCTTCAAAGAGGTTATAAGAAGATGAACTCGAAGAAATGAAAATAGAATGGCAAACTAATAAAAACTAACACTTACAAAGCATATACCAGGTGCGGGCACTGTTCTAAATGCTTTATTTATGTTAATTAATGTAAACAATAACCCTGTGAGGTCAGAATGATTTCACAGAGTTTAACTTTTCTTTATATGAAAAAATGAGCTGGCAGTCCAGCTGACCTATGTTTAAGGTCAACTGTTGACTAATTTATACTCAGGAGAGTTACAGCAGAGAAGTGATATGCCGTGCAGCTAACACAGGTTCTTGTCAGTGGACGTCAGGTGGTAACATTGAGGGAGGGAAAACAGAGTGGATTAGAGAAAGCATTTTAACAGCAAAGCCTAGGCTGGGAACTGTGGATTTATATTAGGAGAAATTTTTCTTTTTTAAAGACCATTCTGCAATTGAAAAATGTCTTATTAGAAAATGTACTAATTTTTTGCAATTTTGAGGTAGACCTAAACTAAATAGAATGTAAATATTTCATTGTCACCATTATACATATAAATAAACCACTGATTTTGGATAAGTGTCCAGTAATTTGTGTATTATTCCTTCAATCTAGGCCTCTTGGGCAAAAGTTATATTGACCTTATAGGTGTGGATTTGGTGACTACAGTCTTCAGGAAATGTTATTGCATTGCCAGAGATATTACTAAATCTGTAGATTTGGCTGGGAGATATTCTAAAATGCAAGTGACAAATCACCTTTACTTTCAATAACCAACACAGTTGAAAGGATGGGAGGAAGGCTTATAGGCAACTTAAATACACATTTTTGAGGATTTTTTCCCTCTTTCCTTTTTCTTGATGACTAAAATATCATATAATCTTATTTTAAAGAAAAATACAATCTAACAATTTAGCATTTATCTTTAGTGGAAATTGTTGCTAGGAGGAAAAACAGTTTTATAGAGAAGTTTGAGGTGAACAATTGCCAAGGACTCAAAAGACAGGCTTTTTATGTGTGTGATGTGTCTAAGGGTTTGTCTTGACAGTGTCAAAATAACAGTTCAATTCTGTTAACCACTTGATTCACAAATAAGTCAAAATAATCATTAGGCTAAATTAAACTGCTTTTTTTCTTTTCTCAACTTTCTTCATCAGAAGTATATATTTGTAGTTGTAGAGCAAGCAGATATACTAGCTCTTATGAAAAGTAAAAGGTGTTCCAGTTATGACGGATAAAGGGAGTCTGACTGCCATAACTGTTAAAGCACACCAAAGTTTGGCAGAGGGTTTCTCTGCACTTTAACTGTTGTACATCAGGTTCTCTAGGAAACAGAATCTGTGCAGGAAGTTTATTAGGGACAGCTGTTGGATTCAACATCTGTGGAAGGAAGGGAAGGAGTCAGAGAGGGCAGAAGGAGAAGTTGGGCTCTGACATAGTCTCACTTAAAGCCCCAGCCAACCCATGGACAGCTCTGATGCTAGGAGGGCTCTTCGTCATTGTACTGAGTTGGAGCAAGGGCACCTGGCCTGCATAACTCCATGCCATCCAGTTGTTGAATGAATACAGGCTGCCCCAGGAGGGTGGCTTTTTCTAGCCCAGGGCAATTTCTATAGAAAGCTGAAAGCCGAGGGCTATCAGGCAACATCTTTCCCAGGACCTGGGCGAATATGGCCTTAAGTCCTGAAAAAGAATCTGGCAATTCATGACAATGCCCTTTCTAGTAGCTGACTGAAATATTTTGAAATTTTAAGACAGAAAAGGAAATAATCAAGAATAATATTTGCATTTTATTATTAAGACTTATATAGTGTTATCACAGAGGGAGGCCTTCTTCTACAGACAAAATAAGACCAAAAGAAATTATTTAAATAAGCCTATTTTGCATAGAAGTAATATATTTAGCCAATACTGGTTATTGAGAGAGAGAGAGAGTGTGTGTGTGTGTGTGTGTGTAATAGATACACAGAATGAGCCACTTTTATTTTTATGTACTGCATTAGTACCATAAAATATTGCTGTCATTTAATGTTTGCAACTCTCTTGTATGGAAGGTACTATTGTCCAATTCTGCTGATAAATAGAATCAGAGGGCTAGGAGACATGTCCAAGATCATACAGCTAGTTACTGGTGTAGTCATGACTCTAACCTACATCTGCCCGTATTAAAGCTCTTCTTGATCCTCTCCTTCATTGTTCTAGTCCTTGGACCATAGAGGTTTTCTATTTCAGTAGATAACTTTTTGTCTTCCCAGACCTCAGAAATTTTTCCTTTAAGCTAAGTGTTTATCTCCTTTGGCCCTTGTCACAATCTTGGCTGGCAAAAAGGCAAGGTGTTTTCCTTTCATTGTTGTTGTTGTTGTTGTTTCTGAGACAGGGTCTTGCTCTGTCACCCAGACTGGAGTGCCATGGTGCAGTTATGGCTCTCTACAGCCTCAAACTTCTAGACTCCAGTGATCCTTCCACCTCAGCCTCCCAAGCAACTGGGACCCCAGGTGCATGCCACAACACCCAGCTGATTTTTTTGTATTTTTTGTAGAGACTGGGTTTCACCATGTTGCCCAGGCTGGTCTCGAACTCCTGGGCTCAAGCAGTCTGCCCATCTTAGCCTCCCAAAGTGCTGGGATTACAGGTGTGAGCCACTGCATTGGCCGAGGCAAGTATTTTTATCTGCACTTTAGCAGGAATGTGGTGCTGATGACAGTGGCCTAGCATCTTATGAAAACAGGACCATTCCAGGAAGGCTTCTGCCCTGTACTTCTGCCCCCATTTAGTAGATGAATTAACAGGTAAAAGAAATGATGCAAAATGTGGCAGGAGTCAGAGGTGAACTTGGGTCTACTGATTCCAAATCCCATGCTTAATTCCCCCTCCAATGGGATTAACACAGGAAAAGGGAAAATATGGATAATTGTAGGTATACTGCACATAAATTGTGGGTGCAGAACAATATCAACCTTTCAATGATCCTACATAATATTCGTTTTATTTATGATGAGGAGATTGTGGAACCAGTAGAAAGAAGTTATTTGAGTGGCCATTAGGAAAAATGTAAGCATATACACTTTTAAGAATGTGGCTTAAACAAATTTTGAAATGATTTTAAACTTCCTTTAAATTAGTATAACTTCCTAAGGGCTTCTTGTTTAGAATGCCTGAATGATGTGTCTCTTTTACTGACAGAAATAGTTGCCTGATTCCCCACAGCTGAATCACATGACAAATGCAACTCCATTGCTCTGAGACAATCTGTTTCCTGTGTTTGAGTTTTCTTTGTTTGTTTGTTTTTGAGGTGGAGTCTCACCCTGTCGCCCAGGCTGGAGTGCAATGGCGCGATCTTGGCTCACTGCAACCTCTACCTCCTGGGTTCAAGTGATTTCCTGCCTCAGCCTCCCAAGTAGCTGGGACTACAGGCATGCCACCACCATGCCCTGCTAATTTTTGCATTTTTAGTAGAGATGGGGCTTCGCCATGTTGGCAGGCTGGTCTCAAACTCCTCACCTCAGGTGATGCACCCGCCTCTGCCTTCCAAAATGCTAAGATTACCACCATGAGTCCCCACGCCCAGCCTCCTCTGGTTTATTTTAGACAGCACAACTGAAGTAGAAAAGGTTCTCTTGTTGCCTACTTTATTATAATAGGGTACTGCTTGTGTCAGAAAATTCGAGAGGACTTTGAGATATTTGTCAGATATTTATATAATATTTCATCTTCCATAATATAAAAAGGAATAAGGAGAGTCATTGTAATATTTTGAGTCACATACATTTTTTGATACATTGAAGTAAATGACAATCCCAATCTGAAGTATTTTAAGTCTTTTCTCAAGCAACTATTACTTTATTCATGTCTTTGGTTTCAGCTCAAATCTTAATTTAATGGAAGATTTCACCAACAGTTAAATAGAATGGATACTTCTGCATGATTAATGCAGTGTCCCCTATATATTATATGACTCTGAATTATAAATTATTTAGCATTTTAGTACTAGAAACAGATGATATGTTTGCCTTTTGAAATGCAGATAGAAGGATGTAGACAGTGTCGCTCTGTCACCCAGGCTGGAGTGCAGTGGTGCACTCTCGGCTCACTGCAAGCTCCGCCTCCCGGGTTCACGTCATTCTCCTGCCTCAGCCTCCTGAGTAGCTGGGACTACAGGCACCCACCACCACACCCAGCTAATTTTTTTGTATTATTATTTTTTTTTTTTTAGTAGAGATGGGGTTTCACCATGTTAGCTAGGATGGTCTCGATCTCCTGACCTTGTGATCCGCCCACCTTGGCCTCCCAAAGTGCTGGGATTACAGGCGTGAGCCACCGTGCCCAGCCTGATAAAAGATTTTAATACATCATGAACACTTACACATGCATGTGTGTTCATTAACAACCACAAGTCAGTCAGCTTAAAAATTCATGCTCACGACTTGTCAGTGTTAATCTAAAGGTCCATAAATTGGATTATCACTGCTAGTGCTACAGTAAAAACCAACTAATAATTTATTACTTTTTTTTCCCTAGGTATTAAAATGGTCACAGAACTACAATTATACCATTTCGTATGCACACATATATAAAGTTATGCTGATATTGACAATTTATAAAGGTTGTGAATGAGATCTGAATTAAGGATGGCTTGAAGTTGTCTTTTATTGACTATACGAAATCAAAAATTAAATATGATTATAATATCTAGAGAATTCACATACAATATACAGTGATTATTAAACTTTCAAGTTTCATTGTTTTGGGAGAAGTTTTGTGTCAGTCATGTCTGGTTGCCCAAATCTTTAAAAGAATGCTCATTTCCTAAAATTCTTTGTGGTCTAAACATGAGAGTTTATAGCAAGATTCACATGCACCCCTGCTTCTATGCCAGGGATTCCAAAGTTATGTGTACGGAGGCAGGAAGGTCCTTGCATACCAGGAGGGGCACTTGAGTATTATACAGTGGGGAGTAGTGAGTATTGACAACTTGAATGGTGTAGGCCTGGAGAAAGTTGAGTTTGTGATCATTTGGGAATGTAATGCCAGTTTCTCCACAGCTTCTGACTTTTATGATAAGATAAAAATGTGGATGTTTTGGTGAAATTTTCTGATTTTTAGGACACTCACTGGGCCAGATCAATCCCTTACGTGGGGTGCGTGTAGCCTGTAGACCTCCAGTGTTCACATTCCTATCTAAGTCAAAGGGAGCCCAAAGTCTTGGGTTGTCTTCCAATCAATTTTGAGTAGGCAACTAATTATCTTAACAGAATCTTCAAAATAGAATCAAAACGAACTTTGGATACATTTCAGTGTTCTTCTACAAGTGTCAAAAACTACAGTAACCCTCCAGTTTTTTAGTTTAAGCCATGTGTGTGTACCTTTTAGCCAAAGGGGCAGAGGCAGTTGGAATTCTATTTCATTTAGCATATTGTCTTTTATTATTGATTGGTCTAACATTGGACACTACCTTTCCTCATTCCCATTTACCTATCTCGGTATGAGATTTCCTGTCTTGATTCAAACCTTTGTGGTCAGTTTTTATCTGATCATTTGTCTGTCTGATATCCTTGATATGCTTTTATAACATTTTTAACAGAAAATGTAAGTGCTATTTATGGAATGCAAGCTGGTCAGCTATGAAGGGTCTCTTGTGATTTCTCAAGTTGTTTTGATGTTTGACTAATATTGGCTCCTAGAACAGAAGTCTGGGAAGTAACAGGGAATGTTAAACGACTGAATACTAGTTTCCTTCCCTTCCAAGTCTGTCTTCAGGGGCATAGAGAAAAGATGAATGAGAATGGAAAATAGAGGAGTGTAACTGAGCAGGGGTTAATTATATTAATTTCAGACTCAACTCATCTTGAAGACATTATAATCTATAAAAAATGGAATTTCAGCAAGAAGCCAAACTCGTATTACCTTTTCCTTTTTAAGAGCACAATATGTTATAGTCATCAGGCACTCATAAATTGCCGTTACAAGCTGTTTAGAATAAGACACTATACAAAACCTACTTAGAATTGGAAACCGTAGGGAGATTCCCCCCCCCCGCCCCCGCCCCCATTGCACCTGAGGTAGTTTTTCCATGTGTTGAGTTTCCTTTTCGTTGTTCATTGGAGAACATGGGAATTCTGCTGTGCTTCTTGTACATGTGATGGATGAGGAGGGTCAAGATACAATTGAATTATTTTAAATACTGAGGAGCCAAATGTAAATAGTACTATGTAGTACTGTCCCCTCATTGTATATGCAAACACAGAGAGCCATCATGTTTTCTCCTTCATTTATGCTAAGTTGCCTGGTAAGAATTATTAAGTGGTAGATGGGAATGGGAATAAGTAGAAGAGAGTGAAAAAATAGTCCAATTTCTTCCAATACAAACTTCTCTGTTCCTTCACCAGGAAAACTTCAGTTCCTGTTTCATCAACAATAGTAAGAATATCTAGGTAAAAGACCATTGAGAAGTGTCAATATCTTGAAGCAAACGAATATTCTTCAAAATATTTACAGTAGCCATGAAAATAACTTAGAACATCGAACTGGAGTAATCAGCATTGACAATTGTGCGTACTATCCTATTTCTCATTACTTTGTCCTATGTGCATAAGTAATCATTTCAATGACTCCTTTTGTTAAAATATGTGAACATTTATATTCAATTATTCAAAAGCACATGATCCTATGTCAATTCCTTGGAAATTTTAGAGTAAATTTTACTACTTCATCACCTGTATCTAGACAAATTTATTAGGCACTTGCTGATGGTGAGTAATACCTGTTTATTAAGCTGATTTTCCGGCTGCTTTCATGAGAGCTTTCATAAATTAGCATTAGTACCTTAACATTTAAGCTTAAACAGGGGTTAGGCATTCATAAATTGAATCAAGTGATCATGGACTAAGAGGGAAGGAAAACGTTTTTTAATGCATTTCTGGCCCACCACCCCCCTCCTCTTCTTTACAACCCCAAGAGCCTACTTTCTAATTTAAAGTTAGAATCTCTAGTGCCAGAAATTTCTACTTTATGTCTTGGCTAACCAGCGAGGATAATCAGCACCTTGTCTTTCTTAAAATTGACAGGGCACATTTTTAAAGTGTTGAAAGAGAAGTATACAGAGCTTACAGGTTGAACAGTCTCAGTTCCCTGACCTCAGCAAAGATTTTGAAACTTAAGTTGTTTTCAGATGTCAGGGTAAAGCCCTGTGGTCAGTTAAATGAATCAGCTATTTTAGTCATTGGTATTTTCTAACAAATACATAAAAATCGGAAGTGCACACTCTGAAATATAAAAATCAACATTATTCATTTTTTATAGTTTTGTGTTACATTCACCAAAGGGAACAATATATATCCCAGTTTGGTAAGCCTATCATCTGTTTTAGCATATTAAAAAGGCAAACTCATTTAAAGATTCAGGTTTAATCCTTTGAAAATTAACCCAATCCCAGGCATTAAATGAACTTTGCCTAAATTCAGACAAGTGCAGAGAACCTCCAGTTTATTTTGCCCTTTTAGTTGGAAAACAATACAATTTTCCATGCTGCCTTTCACTGGCCCCTTCAGTGCCTCCTCAAAAGAGCAGTAGAGCCTTCATCTCTCAGGGATCTGTAGGAAATGCCGTTGTTTTGGGCAGGCTCCAACCATGTAAAATCCAGCCCCAGTACCCTGGAAATGTTGGATAGGAGGAGATTCTTGGGGTGTGGTGGGAGCGGCTAGTACTTAAAAAACAATACTCCATCCCGAATTTAGATGCTTCCAAAATCCTTTGTCTTTCACAAATCCACTTCTTGATTATGTCATGGAATCTGAATAAAGTTAAAGGAATATAAAATAAAGGCAGTTTCTGCAACAAATTTATATAAAATACGCTTGCTTCCTTCAGGCCACGTCCCTCTCTAAGAGGGTGGAACTAACACTTCTGTGAATGACGATGCATAAGAATGTTTTTTATTTTAGACCCTCTCTAGGAGAGTGGAACTGACACTTCTGTGAATGATGACACACGAGAATGTTTTCGATTTTAGCTGTTTGCCCATCGGCTGCCCGTTCTCCCACTGATCAGACTATTGGTTGCTAGGCATCCACATTATTACACCCAAAATTGCAATTTTGTGGTTTCTCCCTTCTTCCTCTTCTACTCTTCTCCTCGATGGCCTATCCACTGTTGTCACCCGACTACTTAGGTCAAAGCATAGAAACTGGAGGACTGAGCTGAGCAGTTTGGGGAATGGAAGCGTGGAACCAGCAACTACGTTTATCCTATGGAGTCACTGCTCCCAGGGCACAGATTCTCAGGGAATGTCTACAGGAATTACCACTGTAGGCTTCCTGGTGCCTCCTGCAAGCAGAGATCTGGCATCTCTTCACCATGGTTCAGATCTCTGGATATGGATTTGTAAACTAAAGAAAACACAGAAGACCATTTCCATCCACATGCCACTTAATAGCTGTCAGCCATGGTTGAGTCCCATGATGAAGTGAGGGTGCTTTCAGACATTGTCTCATTTAGCCCTCAAGGAAATTCTAGGGAACTTTTAATGACCATTATCCCCAATTTACAGATGAAGAAATAGGCTTATAGGGAGGGCAAGGAACTTGCCTATGGTTTTTTCTTCAGGTAACTGGTGCAGAAAGGCCTGAGTCTGGCTCCAAAGCCCGTGTCCTAAACACAGCCCTGTGTCTCCCCCACCAGCTCTCTGCCTCACTCACCAGTATGTATGATGGATTCCATAACCTTAACCTTAGCTTCCTTTTTTGTCACTCATTTTCAAGGTGACAGTGTGATAAGAAGGCATTGCTCTTTTTCCAGTGGCAGAATGTTTAGGATATGTTATTTTTATCTTATACATGGTTTGTAAAAGATATCTGCCATTGATATATGAAATGCTATCTTCATATTTACCTTTCATAAGAAACAAAATAGAATGTCTTTTTCTTCCTTTCCTCTTAAATATGTGATTACACTTGTTTTGGAAGAAGTACCGGGGTAGATGGCACCTTACAATAGTTTTGGCAAATATGTTCATGAGTTAAAGTCATAGAAGTCCTCGTACCAACCAGATTTTCCAATGGCACAATACAAACTGAACATCTGAATGCTGAAACCTACCTTGTAATTTAGTTCTCAAACTAAATCAACTACCTCTTTTCTGCTTACTTCTTAGTTGTAGATAGCTAAATATTTGCTTGTGGAGCTGAACTGTTGCCCATTAAGTCGTTTTCTCATGTTTCCCCCTCACCTCCCATCTTTCCCAATAGTCATTACTGCCTGAAATCTTTTATTCAAATAACAACACATCATTTGAGTTTAACTGGAGATTGTTCAGTTATTTGAAACAACATCAGTATGCCTTTTACATGTAAGCAGTTTTTCTTAAAACTGAAATAATGAAACGTAATAATTATATCTTGCTTTCGTGGATCACCGAGAATGTTTTGTAAATAAATCATCAGTGCTATGCATAGATGCTCAAAGGATGATACTCTGTCATATATGTTTTCTCTGAGGGTTTTAGAAAAGCCGGTTATAAAGCTCAATTGCTATGGCAAGGTTTCTCAACCTCGGTCCTACTGACCCTTTGGATCGGGTCATTTGTTGATATCTGCACTGTAGAATACTTTTCAGCATCTCTGACTTCTACGCATTAGATGTGAGTAGCAACTTCTTACTCAGTTGTCATCGTCAAAAATGTCTCAGACAGTGCCCAGTGTCTCTTAGGGGCACAGTCACCTCTGGCTGAGAACCAGTTCTTGCCTTAACAAGATGAGAAACCAGTTAGACATCAAAACATTAGCTCTGTTGATGGTCAAGTTGAAGTGGAGAATGTGGCTGAGGTCTAAGGCCAAGTTGAATTTATTTTTTCTTTTTCTTTTTTTCAGATACTTCTGCCCAAGGGCACGATGCCTTCCATGTTTACTATATTCAAAAATATTACAACCCCGTGACTGTCTCCCTCATCCACTTTACTCAATTTGTCCTCCTATCCCCCATCTCCACCTGAAATTCATATTTAATTGTTTATTGTTCTCCTCCTCCACTAAAATGTAAGCTTCATGAGAGCAGGACATTTTTTCTTTAGTGCTGTTACCCCAGAGCACAGATCAATGCCTGCCACATAATTTGAATCCATGAGTAATTGTTGACTAAATGAGTCAATTATTTAGAGACACTTGCTGTAAAAAGATAGATTGAGGATGTTAAAGATCACAAACATAGCTGAAAATAAATAGTTGAGATAATTTTTATTGAAGAAGGACGGCTTAAAGTATGATCATTCTACTTAATGGTTTTATAATTAATTAATCCATAATTGAGATTTAGGTTTTTCCCTCATTTTATATAATTAGTTTTGCTGGTCTATTTTTCATGTCAAGCAAACAATGCTTTCAGAGAGAGGGCTTTGAGCTACAAGGAAATGAGGAGAGAAAGCTCAGATGATGCGTGAAGTGGGAAAACAGTAAGAAATACTAACATTTCTTATACAATCAGTCACTCAAAATACAGCAATAAGCAAGAGTCTATTGTTCGGTAGTTTCACTGGAAGGTAAAGAGAGACAAGCACAATATTCCTTTGAATGCTGCTTTGCGTTTCAGAGCTAACAACTGAGAGTTTTGAATTTCAAGTAAGTAACAATTTATCCATTCAGGGTTTAAAATTTGTATTATATATTTTCAAATCTTTCTTGATTTATACTTATTTTTTCAGTTCCCCAAATTTAACCAGTTACACGTATTTAAGTACCATTATCCTCAATAATTTGAACCGAAGTAGTTCCCTTTAATAGGAAATATGCATTTCATCCTGAAAATAGGACACAAAATTCTTAGCTTAGCTATAAGGTCCAGAAATATTTGAGCTAAAATGCTGTAAGCTGAGCAAATAGTAAAAGATACGCATTCTACCAAATGTGTTCTGGTCTTGAAAAATTAAGGACATGTGTACCAGAAAGGTAGAGAATGCAGCCTCTTCAGGATGTGTACTGACCACCACTGAAATTTTGTATGACAGGAATCACATCCTGGCTACGGGCAGATGCCAGGATTTGCTAGTATTGTCAACAAAAGGGCTATGACAACTTATCTTTTAAAAAATGTTGTATCAAATTTTTTGTTTTTGGTTTATTGGAATGCCCTCATGTTTCTTAATTATAATGCCTACTTAGCTCTTTCAAAGAACCTATTTCTTACTTTTAAACATGGAGTCAAAATAGTAAGAATAATAGATTTGTTTTTGTTTTTCCGTTCCCCATACCTACTTCCTGGAGTATATGAAAAGTCCTAACGAGGCTAGAGCAATCCTAGGGCTATGGATTGGGCACTTGTTTATTACAGATTAATTAAAGAAATGAAGAACTAAAGTGAATATTCTATCCCAGTTCTTTGTTGGCTGTGGTTTGGAGAGGAGTTGCCTCCCCCAGTTTCACAGTGCATTAGTGATAGATCCCCTGGCTGAAACCCCAACTCCCATGATCTCTGTACAGCATTATTCCCATCCTCCATTTATGGTATAATGTGGCCATATTTTATCCCTCCTGGACTCTAACATTGCTCAACACCTGGAGTC